CAGAAAATATAAAGGGAAAGAAATACCGGGACTCGCCATGCGGGAATCTACCTCGCACCAAAGTCGCGAAAAGCGAAAACATGGAAAAGTACAAGGCGAATAACAACGAAAAATTCGTCTTTATGCAAAGTCACTGCGCAAGTAGTCGCAGATTACATACGACCCGGATCAATGGTCAAAAAAGACAGCTATCTTTTCACTCGGCGTCACCATCGCCACTCTCTTCACCACCATCTCCAAGATATTCTCCATCGGCATCCTCAGCTGCAACCCATACTATTCGACCTCCCCATCCGAATTTCTCGAACTACGATTATTGAAGTCCGCTCACCGAGCTCAACCAAGAGACGACCTCGATAAACGGAGGGACTAACTCTATGGGTCAAAATTAGACCAAAGAAATTCGGCACGCGAAGACATAAGGACAAGGTCGGACCGTCCTCAATAAAGCTGAGGTCGGACAGGCCAAGGTCGGACAGACCGAGGTCGTGATGAAACAACTAGTCTGCTTTGGGATCCTCAAAAGGAATATTCTACTGAATATTCCCTCTAATTGTACCTTTTTGTAGGATTTTCTTTGGATACCTCCTTATAAATAGGAGGGAAGACTTCCCCAAAAAGGGGGCTCTCTCTCTGTCTCCCTCTCCCTCTTTCTAAAAAAATATGTAAACACACCTCTCCAAAGAATTGAGAGGATCAGTGATCACATACCTTCATCGGATCCAAAAAGGGTCATAAGGTTCTTGTATTTGTCTACCATTGATCTTTATTAAATGAAAGAAGATCCGTCTCACTGAAGATCGAGTGAATCTTTTCCTTTATTCATATTTTTGTTAGTTAATGCATTTTTACTTATGCCATTAAATCCGATCTTAATCGCTGTCAACATTTATACTCGGTTATGTTTTTCTACTCATATTATTCGTCTCGGATCTAGAGTTAATTATCTTTAACTATACCCCTTCATCTTTGATTGATTTGCTTAAAAAGAGTTTAACATCTTTTGAGCCAAACACACTTTGTTTTCAATTACTACATTCGTACTACTTTCACAAACTTCACCAACCTATAAATATTCTTTAATTTCTACAAACATAATACATATATGGTATGTCCTTCTTTATTAGTTGGAGTTATAGAGGTTGGAACATAGCCCATATTGGAAAAAAGAAGTTTGTCACTCTTCGTTCCTCGTCAGCTTGCCTTCCGTTATAAGCGTCACAGCAATATAAAGAAAAAAAAAAAAAAAAGATCATTCTTGTTACAATAAATAAATTGTTTTTGCATACAACATGTTTTGTTTTCGACCCTCCAAAAGATGAGATAAAATTTTGAAAAACGAGAAATTGAAAGGGTTCCTATTTGAATCATTCAAGATTAAGAAAAAAAATTGGAATTAGCACCTTGACATTATTGACAACGATTGTCACTAATTATTTTAATCAAGCTATCATAATGATTTATGCAAACAAGAAATGATTGATGCCAAGAACCAACACCAAATTGAGAAAGCATAGCCATAGAACACACAAGTTAAAATGAAAGTATAATATCTATCATCATAGAGGAAATTAGCAGACAGGAGAAGAACAAATTGTTGGATTTAGCACTTTTAATTTACTAAGTTCTAAATTAATATTTTTTATTAAATGATTTTTCTAACAAAAATACAGAGTTTGAACCAAAGTTACTGGGTTCAGCAGAACCCGCACCTCGGTCTCTAGCTCCACCCCTGATTAGAGTAATGATTGGATACATGAGCCAAAGAAGAAAACAAGTGGAAAAAGTGGCGAAAATAGGATTTTCATTTAAGGGGAGTCACAATATTTAAAAAGTAAACATAAGAAAAATTTAAGTGCATATAATATATAAATATTAAAAAAACTACCTATTTACACTGTGTAATTTCCGAAATGGTATCGATTGACACTTCTTGAACAAAGGTGGCTCCGCTACGGAGTGTAGGATTCTACCTTGAATAAATATAACATGAGTTTAATTTTTATATAATAATTACACTACCAGTGTATTTAAAAGTAATTGTAGGTAATCTGTGTAATCAAGAATTAACATATGCCAACAGATAAGGGGAAAATGAGAAACCAGACTTAAGAAATAATACGCAAATACCTACAAAAAAAAAGATTTGCCTAATATAATAAAAAAATTAAATACATTTTTGGTTTAATGTCAATTGTAAAAAGGAAAAGTAAAGAGTTGGTACTTTATATAATAGTAATACTTTAAATATTATTAAAAATATTATATAGAATTTATTCACGATATTCACTTATCTAACATTCTCCAAACAAATATCTTATATAGAAGGACGAAGTCAAAGATTTCTCAAGAGTATTCAAATTTGAAATAAGTAAAAAGAACTCCTCGACAAAGGATATTCAACATATGTCATATACCTTTAAAACCTAATATTTTATTCTATATACACAATGTAACATTCTCCAAACAAATATCTTATATAGAAGGACGAAGTCAAAGATTTCTCAAGAGTATTCAAATTTGAAATAAGTAAAAAGAACTCCCCGACAAAGGATATTCAATATATGTCATATACCTTTAAAACCTAATATTTTATTCTATATACACAATGTAATTTTTCGACGAATGGTCCTTATGGTCCGGGAAAGGTTCACATCCCAAGTGGGTGTAATGTAGGTAATTTATATCAGTGGCTGATTCCACGACTCGAACCCGTGACCTATAGGTCACACGGAGACAATTTTACCGTTGCTCCAAGGCTCCCCTTCAACTAATAAAATGCAAGTTGACAAAGTTACCCTCCGGTCCAACCATATCCGGTTCAGCAGTCCTAAAACCGGTTGTCCGGTCTGCAATCAACCCCAACAAGAACCCTCTCCGATTCATTTCACTCTCTTTCAACTCCAAGAAAAAAAAAAACCAAAACATGATTATTAATGGGATGATCACTTTATAGTGCCCGTTTGGACATAAAATTTGATGGAAGATTTTTCCGAAAAAAATTCACTTTTTTTCGAAATCGATGTTTGTTCATAAAATTTTCAATTTTCACTTGAAGATGCATTTTAAAAATTTTCGAAAAATTGAAAAACTGCATTACTGCAAAAAACTGATTTTCAAAATTTTCATTCAAATCACTCACAAAACTTCAAAACAACTCAAACTAAAATTTATGTCCAAACACAACTCTAAATTTCAAATACCATTTTCACTTGAAAAATCTTTTAACCATTTTTTGGAATTTTACAATTCTTATGTCCAAACGCCTACATAGTGTCAGCTTTTATATTTCATTCACAAAATGATGAATTTCTGAAAAGACAAAGTCTCAGTTCATCTCCTCTCTGCTAAAAGAAAGCAAAGAAAGAGAAAATGCAGTATTTTGGGTACATTTTTATTATAAAGTTTAGTTCTTTTATAGTATGTGTATGTTTGAAAATATGGGAACTTGAATCTTGTCTTTAGGCCCCGTTTGGCCATGAGTTTTGCCAAAATAAATTTGGGATTTATTTTCAAAAGTCATGTTTGGCCATAAATTTTGCCCATATTTTGGCCAAATCCCAAATCTCAAATCTCAAATCCCAAAATCAGCTATTTAGTTGATTTTGGGCCAAAATCTCAAAACTTGGGAATTATATACATGTTTTTCCAAAATAAAGTTGGAAAATATGTTTTCAAAACGTATGTCCAGACACATTTTCATCTTCAAACCAAACTTCACCCAAATCAGACTTCAAAATAAATTTGGGATCTGTGGCCAAACGCTAGCTTAGTGAAAGGTGAATGAGATTTTTCTTGTGCATTTGAGTATTTATAGATATGTTGAATGCTTAATTTAATGGGGTTTAAAGTTTGATTCTTTGATTGAAAAAAGGTTGTAAATTGAGATGTTTAGTTTCGAACCTTATATTTGTCTTAAGAAATCCACTGAATATGTATAAATTATTAATTTAGAACCTAATAACTTAAAAAGATTAGAATTCCCAACCCAATAAGCTTGAAATCCTGCCTCCGCCTCTGGTCACAGGCCAAAACTATCTGTTTTGCTACATTTTATATTATTAGTTTAGTTTTATGTAATATATGTATTGTATGGAAATTTTGGAACTTGAATCTTGTCCTCTCTCAAAGGTGGATGAGATTTTAGTGTGTATTTGAGTATTAGTTTAATGGAGCTTAAAGTTTGAATCTTTGATTGGAAAAAAAAAAAGATTGTAATTTGAGATGTTTGTGATGTTGGGTCAGCCTTTTCACCGGTGTGATTTGAGTCATTTTGCATTTCAACGAGACAATTCAGAGCCTACTTGTAACTGCTGGTTATCATCTTAGCTCAACAGATTTAGTAGCAGAAACTGGTTGTGTACAAAAACGACGTCGATTCCTCTGCTCCCGCTATCTGCAAAGTCCAGGGAAGAACTGGGCCACAAGGACCTTATATATTTTTAAGGAAGTCCCAAGTCTATATGACCTGTCATCTTTAGGGCTATGGTGAAACGGTATGGACGATAAACATAAAGTGTCCATTAGGTGCATGTTACGAGTTCAAATCTTACCACTTAGTATCAAGTAGGAGTAGGGTAAAGGAGTGGACCCATACTCCCCCAATTATTGAGCTTAGGTGCATGTTACGAGTTCGAATCCTACCGCTTACTATTAAGTAGGAGCAGGGTAGAGGAGAGGATCCATTTCCCCCGTTATAACTTGTGAGCACAATCGGGCTGAGGCTGCTATTAAGTAGAAATGACACCAGATAGCCACTCTAAAGGGTTGCTATTTAAGAATTAGCCAATGCATTCTGAATTTCTTAATCTCTAAATAGTATTTGTGTACTTGCCCCGCTATTAACTCGTGGGAGATTTCTCGGTTATTGAGAAAAACTCTCGAGAGTTGTCTAATCATGCAGTTCTTGCTCATAGTGTTCTGCCAATTACCAAACTGTAGGTTGGCCCCTTAATTCTTGAAATGGTAAATGAGAAGCAAATGATTGTTGGACATGGACAAACATATGAAGATATTCTCTCTAAGTTCTATTTAAATTAGTTTGATCCTCAATAATGTACATAACCAGAGTATAAACTATCTATATTGGACGACTACAACCAATCTACTCAACCTATTGATAAACTGTAAGACTTAAAAAAAAGGTACATGCTTCTTATTTCTACAAGAAAGCCCTATGACGGAAAACTAAATAAATGCAAGGGGAAAAAAAGGCGATAAAAATCAAAGCAGCTAAACAATTTCAGCAAGGCTTTATTTCAAATCCAATACTCAACAGAGTTCGAGCCGACTCCATTGCCTTTTCTCCTCCAAGGTCCAATTTCTCACCTGTTAACGCACCTTCTTTATCCACGGACCATTGTGTGGTTGATTTTTGATGCTGTAGCAGTTCGGGTTTCTTACCCTGCAGATTGGTCAAGGAAGCAGGGGCAGCAGCAGCAATAAGAGGTGCACTCGGTGGACTTTGACGCTTTTTTGGTACGGGCATGTCATGATCGTGTACTCCCTTATATGTTATTATCAATGCACTCGTGCTATCTACGGCTCTCTCAATGTGCTTTCGAACCGGACATCCAGCTGATGTACAGCGATAGTAGTTCCTAAAAGTTATCCAATAAACAACTTAGAATAGTACAGGAAAACCAAGGAAGAAAATTGGAGCACAACTTTGACCAACAATGAGTTAACTGTAAAGTAGATAAAAACAAGTAATATGTGAAAGTTATTTTTAGGTTTACAGATGAATGACAACGCCATCTCCTTAATTGTCTACTCATAAGAGATGCTATCAAGCTAGAATATACCATTTGACAAGCTTTTTTACTTTGTTTGACTCAAGGCTTGGCATTTCTATTTCTTTTAACAAAGGACCAAAAATTGATGTTGCATAAAAAATCCAAATTTCTAACTTAAAATGGAAAACGTGATGGAAAATATTACATGAAGAATGGCTAAGATACAAGGTGCAAGAAAAATAGCACTCGCCTTTAAAAAACAGGATAGGGTGCATAAATAGTAGCACTTTCATCCATCAATACAATCAAGTATGAATCATGGAATGCATCAATGTGGCATCAGTCTTTCTGGCAGAACGAAAACGAATTATCAAGTGTAAAGCATGAAAAAATATAGTACCTTGGGTGGGGATTTCCCTTCACCATTTTTTGTCCATACTTGCGCCATCTATAGCCATCACTTGAGATTCCTACGTCACAAGCAGCATGCACCACAAGTTTGGGTTTCTTTCCGGGTCTAGAAACAGATTCAGAACTTTCGCCACTTTTCTTCAACCTGGAAACCATAGGTGAGTTTTGTGATCAATTCTATGGTTTTGAACATCTGTGAGATGAAGGCCAGATAAATAATGATAACTAAATTACATACAAGAGAGAACTTGCCTCTTCTTTTCATCACTGTGCTCCTCTTTAATAGTGATTTCAGTGTCAGTATCAGACCCACAAGAATCCTGATTTGCTTTCTCAGCAATAGGTGAAGTTTCTTGTAAATTTTCTTTTAAAGAGGACGGCACGGTCTCATTAAAACTTCTCTTTGGACAAGCTATCATACGGTTGTCATTTGCAGGTGCAGGCAATACTATGGGCTTGCTTTCCTTTGAGCAATTTACTCTCGGGGGTGGATCATGATTGTGTTGACTTCTATAAATAATCTCCATCACACGATTACTGTGATCAGAGCACTCAATCTTCTTGGCGCAACACTCAGAATGAGTGCATCGGTAATAACTTCGAGAACCTTGAGGAATTTTAACTTGCTTTTGACCATACTTCCGCCAATTGTACCCATCACGGGATGGTGTCTTCAGGACTGGCACAACAGGTAGAACCTTGCCATCGGAACTCCGCTTAGCCACTTCTCCTGTACTACCATTTACTGCTGCTGACAATTGTCTTTCTGCTAGAGTTGGGCTCGGCACTGATGAAATGGACGGTGTAACAGATGTAGGGGACAGCTCCAATGAGGATGCTTCATCAGGCATACGTTGCTGATGTTCTGTTTGTACTTGAGCACTCAAAGTATCAGGCCTGGTAACACTAATTTTATCCTGCATACAACATGAAATGACTCATTTGATGTCACCCCATCCCACAAACAAACATATCCAGTTCCAACATTTGCCTGAATTAGCTTTTCAGTAAAACTATAACATTATACACAGAAAAATAGAAAATCAGATACTCCGAAAAGCTAAATATATTACGAACCTACATAAGTAATTTGACAATGTTCATTTATAACATCACGTGATAATATTTTTGCAACTAGAGAAATTATGAATTACATTCAGTTTTGGAATTTTCTCAAGTACACGTACAGTCATTCAAATGATTTCAATTGTCCCCAAGCTCCGGAAACAAGAAAGCAGTTTTATTGTGAGATGCGATTCCTAGCCACCGTGGGAAGCAAGCTTGAATCGTGATGACACTTACAACTTATACAAATTCTAAACCTGCTTTATGATTTTGACCAATTTCCTTCTTCATATTCCTGGATCATTTTACTGAAATTATACTGGATGTCTTGACCACATGACCTGTTTTAACCAGTAACTCTCTACTCTGAAGCTTAATCAGTTGAAAAATCCAGCAGTTAATGACCTAATAAGGACAATATTATGATCTTGATCACAAACACAACTGAAAGCACCTGCAAAAGACATGCGATAGTCACTTAGCACGATGTTAAGTTTCCTACCTTTGCTTGGCGCAACTTCAATTTATCCAAACACAGGATTATGATGATCCCTATGGTAGGAACTGCAATTCTAAACATGAGAATAAACAGCAACATCCTCGGATAAAACACTTCCATTGTAAAGTTTCATGGTGCTTTTCTGTATAATTCACTATCATCCAATTTCCACCAACCACAAAGTGCCCAGGAATGAGAGATACATGTCAGGCCTTTGCCAGCTTATGTGCACCTTGACTATTTCCACCGGGTACCTGCTATCTCCCACTAGCACAAGTACATGCACAAGTACATGGTAACTCTGCACACCAAGACTTGGGTAGATATGAAGAAATCACCTAAAGTTTTGTGACAGTGTTGGGATTTGAACCGTGGTTTCCAAGGTTTTCACCCACTTCATTGACCACTATGCCGCGCCCTTAAATGCTAGAGATACATGTCAAGTTAAGATGAATAATTTGATTTTAGGCCTAGAACACAATGAATGAGTATTGAGCACTGTAAGGAAACGAAGTCTAATGCACAAAAGATAATATTGCTATGTTAGTATGTGTTTTCATCTATGTAATTATAAGCTCCTCTCTTTCTAATGTACAGTGCCACCTTACGCATATAAACAAAAACTCTTACTTGTAGATCAATGTAACAATACAAAGTAAATACAGGATCCTTCCTCTCTTTCACAAAAACTCTTACTTGCATAACAATTTACTCCCTCTTTCCTAATTTGTTTGGCCTAGTTACGTTGACACGGATTTTAAAGAAGAATAAGATAATTTTACATATATAGGATAGATAATAATAAAATAATAATATGCCCTTGTACCAAATTATTTACTTTTGTATTCAGTGGAGCGTGGCCTACAACAAGTCATGTCAATGGCAAAACAAGAATGTAAAAGTAAACTAGTATCTAGTCTAGATATAGAAAGGTGTCTGTCCTTTTGGTATGGACATAAAGGACATGGTGTCAAAAATATTGGGATGGAAGGAGTATTTCTCGGTGACTTTAATCTTGATTGACAAAATGTCCTATTTTCCTTTTATTTATTCCTCTTTCATTTCTTTAGTCTGCAGGGAAATCATGAATGCTAAATCTCTTCCTGTTTTCAATCTTGATAAATTTTTTTAACAACGGCAGTATCCGGGACAACTTGCTATTCTATCAGGTACTTGCTACTTTCCACTAGCATACGTACAGGGTAATCTGTTCAAATCTGTTCACCAAAACCTAGATAGATGTAAAGAAATCGCCAAACATTTTTTATTTCTGCTGGGATTTGAACCTTCTCTTCAAGGTTTCACTCGCTTCATTCTCCACTAGGCCACATCCTTAGATGTTTGTGTCAATTTAGAGAATACCTTGTTAATAATAACAACCATTGACTTTTCCGTTTGATTTCAATTTCAGGGGAGAATCTACAACTCAAAGCATGCAGAGTCCTGAATATAAGAGTTGATAAATAAATGACGAAGCATCACAAATGCTAAATAATTTAGTGAGATAAAGAGATGTTGCGGATAACGCATTCAAGAGCCAAAAAGATGAGTAAAAACATGAGCTTCACATTTCACTAGGAAAAGCGGGAAAATAAGAAATAGAGAGTAAATGTGAATTAAACAGTACTGTACTTAGGATTGAGACAACTGGGTAAAGCAAAATGTTGGTTAGATGATTCTTGGGTAAGAGAGTTAAATTGTAAGTATAAATAAATAAATCTATGTCCCTCTCAGGCAATTTAACATTTTCCAAGAGGTATTATTAACATACTTCAACATGATAACAAAGTTGACAAACCAATTCTCACAGTAGCAAGTAGGGTGTTCAACAAAAATCAGAAAAAAGCAACATGCAACTTTGATTTGATTCAGTTAGTGTTAAATTAAAAAGAAAAAAAACAATATTTGGTTTGATTTGGTTTAGTATTAAACAAAACAAAAATGGCAAAATATCCCCCCCCCCCCCCCCAAAACCTATGGCCGCCGACTTTCCAGTTGTAGTCCCCACCTTTGTGGCGATCTTATTACCTACCTGGACTTGTTTGAAATAAACCCCCTAAGTGCTAAGGTGGCAAAGGAAGAGCGAGAAGGCACAAAAAATGTTAAAACATTATTTTTCCACAAATGGAAACAGAGAAGCACAGAACGGTGGGATCAATAGAGCATCCTACTAACAATTTTTCCACTTCTCAGTGGAATCCCTTTCGTGGACTACTAGCTTCCCATCACCTACTTACACTTCCCAATATCAACCATCAAGAAAAAGAGGGTATGAACTATGACGTCGTTCTACTACATTTTCAACTCCTTCCTTACATTGAGTTTTACGTAGCAAGCTGCAGAATAGTTTGTAACTTTGTATATGCAACCATGACATGTGCACAGGATCTTATATAAAACCGATAATCATGCATCCTATTACCACATTAACCTCAAGAGATCTCAGCGCTTTACCTTGCAGAAATTTTTGGCTCTACCATAAACTAACATTTAAGTTTCAGCATTAGCTGAGTCTAACCTCCATATCCTTATCATCCTAATAATCCACGTACATATCCTCTATTTTTCTTTATGCAAATCTAGTACACAAAAGCAGCGAGATCTAGTGCCCAAATAGTGATTAAGCATTTACCTTGAATTTTCTAATTGCACATGTCTTACCCCTATGGTGAATTGCCTCGGTATTTCTGTGCTACCATTCAAAATACACAGCTCATTTTTTCTTTTTTTGAATAAGTACAATTCAGCTAAGCAGCAGAACTATGATTTTAAGTAGTATAATTGAAAAACTAAAACATTAAAATTAAAAAATGTATGCTACCACGGCGAATCTACTCAAAGATCTCCCGAATCTCGAAATCTCCAGATAAACTGAAAACAATGCCAAACCAATAAATATCAAGTAAAAGCAAGAAAGCAAACCTTGATTTCTTTCGCTGGTTCAAATGGTGGCAGTGCATATTCCACTGGTACTTCTGTCAGATTATTCAACACAATAATTACAGACACATACACAAAAAAACAAGAAAAAATAATTTACATACAATTATATAAGCAAAAACAAAAAAGATAAAACCAAATGTATAAGAATACTCCCTTTCTTCCAATTTATGTGAACTGACACGGAGTTAAGAAAGAAAATAAGACTTTTGCAACTTGTGCAAGTACATCATAACAAGTATGGTTACAAGACTTTTGAAATTCGTGATCTTAAATATATCATAACATTTGTGGCTATAAAAGCTTATTATTAAGGATAAATTGGAAAATTTACATTAAATGTATACAGAATTAGAAAAGGATCATTCTTTTCAAGATGGACTAAGCAGGTAATCGGGTCACATAAACAGGGAGTAGCAGTTTTGATCGTACAAAACCAAACTCAGCTAATAAACATGCTACAAGTAGTTCTTTTCACAAATAAATAAATAAAGCAAAGTTAGAGAAAAAAGAACGAATTATACAAAATTGGAAACAGTACCAGAAAGTTGGTGAGAGGAAGAAGAGTCGGTATCAAATTTGGATTGCACATCACTCTCAATTTGTTGTACGGATGAGTGAACAGTAGCAGGAGCTAGGGTTTCTGATACCGAAATTTTCACCTTCGGTTCTTGTAAACTCTCAATTCCACTCTCCGTACGTTCATCACCACCATCATCGAGTACTCCGCCGTCGTGTACAGAGGAGTTTTCGTTTTTGTTTTCTTCTGGATTTGAATTCTCGGCTCCGCCAGCTTTGGAGCTCTCGTTTTCTTCGTCCATGGCGGATTCCGACGAGCACCAACTGTGTGTGTGTGTGAGGAGAATGAAGAGAGGAAAGAGAGAAAGTAAAGGTTTTTGCAACAGAGCTTTTCTTATTTTTATTTTTTGTTCTTTTTTTTTTTGTTGTCCGACTTTTCCTTTTTACATAAAGTATTTGATGGTGACATTGCTATGAGCACTCCCACCTGTGGAATGACCATTTTAACCTTTATTATTGTCTTCTAAAATATAGAGTAAGACTTGGAGCCCATTTGGACATATAATTTTTTTTTCTTTTTCCAAAAAAATTTTACTTTTTTCGAAATCAGCGTTTGTTCATAAAATTTCAATTTTTCATTTGCATATGCATTTTAGAAATTTTCGAAAATTTCTAAAACTCCAAAAAACTATTTTTCAAAATTTTCACTGAACTCACTCACAAAACTTAAAAAACAACCCAAGGTGAAATTTATGTCCAAACACAACTCTAAATTTCAAATACCATTTTCACTTGAAAAAAAAATTCACCATTTTTTGGAATTTTACAATTCTTATGTCCAAACACCTACTTACTATTTATTAGTACTTCTTATAGTTTCAATTTCAATAGTAAGATTAGAGATATCCATTTTGAGAGAGTTGAAAAAGCTTCCTCTCACCTTCATATGTTTTTCTTCAAATGTTTATGGTTATAATTTGACCTATGCTATTATCACATTATTTATAGTCCTCTCAACTTTATATTTTTTTCTTTTTGTTCATTCTCTGATTTTTTATTATCTTATTTTTTTTTTATCAATTTACATAATTTTAATTTAAAGAAAACACGAATGGTTAAGATACAAAAGATAATAGAAGTGGCTAACAAAATTACTGACATTATTATCTAAAGGACTAATGTACCGTCCTATTAATGAACTCCTATATTAAACATGAATTGTGACCTTTTTAGAATTGAATGGATAAATTTCTATCAAAATAAATAAATGAAGAAAATGATGGATATATCGTCAAAAGATGAATTTTTTTGGAGCGTCAGAGTAATCTATGCTTAATCTAACATGCTAGACTAGTTTATGAGCTCTAATTAACCTGTAAATTGCATTAACTCAAGGTGTATCTGCTAATAAAATTGATGAAACTCGAGATGATAGGTTAATTTTTTTTTTTTTTTGACTTCTTTTCCATTTTTTGGATAGTCCAAAATTGTAAAGATTTTTATATTTGGACAAAAAAAATAGAAATTTATTCACATAAGGTTAAAATGGTAATTTAGCTAGTAAGAATGGTCTTTCTTTTGTGAAGTGGCAATAGAAAAACATGAAGAGACATAATATAATCAAGTCCGGATCCGAATTATTTGCCGTAAGAATCGGACATTTGTGTACTGTTCCGGTTCGGGCTTTTCGGAACCAGAGTATGTGAGTGTGTGACAGTGCATGTCGTTGACTCCTATTGACTCCATTTACTCCGCAGGTGCCATTCTTTTTTCTTTTTTTTTAATTCGACCTTCCGGCAAAAGGAGGATTATTTTGAGCGAGCTCAATGGATAACCCGTACTCAGGATGAAATAGCGGACATTCTATCTTTAGAGATAAATGTTGGACTTTAAGCCATTGGGCTTTAAAGTAGAACAAGTGTGAATTGAAAATGGAGGGAAATTGAAAATTTGAAGAAGTAAACTTTTGCCTTGCACTTTGTCCCTCATTGGTGAGGGACAACAACATTTGTGTGCTTATATATAGAATCACTTCTTAAAGCTCTTAAAAGGAGTTGAAGAGAATGAACCCTCGCGCCGTCGTCGCTCGGCTCGGCTTTGCATTTGGATTTGGATTTGTCAAATGATCGATCGATAAGATTATTTTTGGACAAAATTTATTTAATTATTGAATAATTAATTAAATGCCAAATCACTGCTGAAAATACGCCAGAACCCTGCTGAAGGTTCAGAGGGCTTCTCTGGCCGCGGTTCTGCCGCGACCGCGGTA